TTTCCACCTTCCTAGGTGATGCTCTTGCTTATTCTTCTTCTCCAACGCCTATCACCTCCTCCCCTGCTCCGGGAGCCTTCGCAGGTTCCTCCCAGCGCACCTCTCTGTCCCAGGCATCCACATCCGAGAGCTTCAGCTCCTCTTTGGCATGATGTGTGCTCCCTCTGTGTGTGCGTGGGTCTCCACTGGTGCCTGCTGAAAGACACGGCCCGGGCACTTCTCCCTGCGCTGTGCTCCCCCACCAGAGCACACCTTCCCAGCGGACCTTTGCTGTCGGCGCCCAGCCGTCAGTTCCTTCCTCTGGAACACAGTCCTCTGTAGAGCCCGTTTCCTCCGGGTCTCTGTTCCTTTCACAGGACAAGCCCTTGAAGGTATGGTCTGCATTTGAAGTCTCTGTGACTGACATCCCCACTCCACCCATGCTACTAAACCCATAGGCAGACACTCAGCCTTCCTGTCCTTGGCGGGTAGAGAGAGGTGTCTGGCGTGCTAGGCTGGTCTCTCTTCCTAGAAACACGTTTTTGCTGAGCTTCCGGGGTGCCACCCTCTGCTGGTTCCCTGTGCCAGTCTGCACAGTGATGTGTCTGTAACCTCACGTAGTGCAAGGCCCCAGAGTCGGTCCTTGGCCCCCTCTCTTTTCTCTCTCTCCCTCCACAGTCGGACCCGGCCTCATGTCTTTAAGTAACACTTCCATGTTGATGATTCCCCTCCTTTCATCTTCAGGTGGTCTTCATACTTTCCACTTCACTCTCCAGCTGCCACGTCAGCATGTCCACTGGGAGGCCAGATGGGTATCGCACACTGAACAAGTCCAGCGAGCCCCCGATATGTGTCCCCTTCCCCTGACACCTGCTACCTCTGGGCCTCGCTGTTTCAGCAGTGGCAGTTCCATGCCTTCAATGATTGGCCCCCAAGCCCTGGGGTGATGTCTCGTGTGTTCTCACTCCTTCACCAAATTGTTTAAGCATACCCAGAATCTGCTGAAACCTTGCCTCTTCCACTGTTAACCGTCTTGGATGAATGACAGCATCTCTCACTGGGTGTCTCAGATGGCCTCCTGTCTGGTCTCCCTGTTGTGGCCCTGGCTGTGTTCTTTCTTTTTTTATTTTTAACGATTTTATTTATTTATTTGTGAGGTAGAGTCACAGACAGTGAGAGGAAGAGGCAGACAGAAAGGTTTTCCTTCCATTGGTTCACTCCCCAAATGGCCGCTATGGCCGGTGTTGCGCCGATCCAAAGCTCAGAGCCAGGAGCTTCTTCTGAGTCTCCCTTGCGGGTGCAGGGGCCCAAGGACTTGGGCCATCCTCTACTGCTTTCCCAGGCCACAGCAGACAGTTGGATGGGAAGAGGAGGAGCTGGGACTAGAACCGGCACCCATGTGGGATCCCGGCGCTGCAGGCGGAGGATTAACCTACTGTGCCTCAGCACCGGCCCCCTGGCTGTGTTCTAGTCTGTTTCCCACCTAGCAGTCGGAGCGATCCCTCTAAGACACAGGCCACCTCAGCCATCCCTCTACGCATAACCCTGCCAGGGTTCCCAGATCGTTCAGGTCAAAGCCAGTGTGCCCTACACAGCCTCACAGGTCTGGGCCCCGTTACGTCTCTGCCAGGTTACTCTTTGATCCCCTCTCCTCTCTTCAGTCACACCAGGCGAGCCCCTGCCGCAGGACCCCTGCGCTTCGTGTGCCACAGTGGTCTCCGTCCAGAGGGTCACAAGTCTCGTGCCGTCACCTCTTTCGGGTGCTGATTCAACATCTTCAGGGAAGCCTCTCTGGACCCTTTGTGAACCTCATTCCCCTAGACTCCCTTCCAGTCTCCTCTGCTTTTTCTCCCCAGTGCTACTTAAAACTGTCTAACATAGGATGATTTTATATTATCTTTTTTTTTTTTAAATCTGACTCTCACACAAGAATTTCAGCTCCATGACAACAGGGCTTTTCGTCGGTCAGTGTTTGTTTTGCGCACTGCTGCATGTCTGCTTCTTCGAAAAGTGCTGGACCCCAGCAGGTGGTTGAATGACTAATGGAAAGTAAAGAGAAATTGGCTGGCATTACCTCTTTCTGCAAGGCAGTGTAGCCTCCTGCTGAAGAGGTGGGGCATGAGAATCTGCCTGTGCAGTCATAGCAGGTGATTCAATCAGTCTCCCCTGTGTGGAATGAGATCATGGAGTTCCTGCTGCATGGGGTTGTTGTGAGGACTGAGATAATACAAATATATCTCCCTGTGTGTGTGTGTGTGTGTGTGTGTCTGTATATCTAGATAGATGCGTAGGAGAACTATGTAGCGGTGAAATATGCAGTTAGGGCACAAGTAAGTCTTACTTCTCATCACGGTTGTCTGCTGTCAACATTGTATTATCTTCCCATTTCAGCTTTCTCAAGGGTTGCTTTAAAGGAGAAATGCTGTATAAAACCATACAGATTATCTCCTTAATGTAATACAATATGAACTCAGGTGTGGGAGTCCCACTCTGCCTTCCATTGTCCTTGTGACTTAGGACCCTTTGCTAAGCCTGTGGAGACTGCTTTACTTGGCCGAGGGCTCGGTTTGTGTAGAACATGTTCAGGTGTGGTGGCCTGGTCCCTAGCAGATGCCCCTCACTGCGCTGGGGGTGCGGGGTGTGGAGGAGGCAGGTGCAGGGTTCTGGGGGGGCCCTTGTGAGCCAGGAGTCAGGCCCGTGACCCCGCTTCTCGTTATGCTAAAAGTGGAGCTCATCAGAACACAGCCTGTGCAGGCGCAGTCCTGAATTCTGTCCTTGCTTCCTCACCAGGATCGCGCCGTGTCTTTTAGCAGAAATTGTCATTTTTAGAGTTTCTTGAGATGTTTCTTTTTATAGTTTCTCTCCTCCACAGCCTCTTCCTTCTGATTTTTAGTCAGCCAGGCTCGAGTCTGGGAGTCATCATGCATACTCACTCCTCCTTCCCTGGTCGCTACTCCCTTGCATACTCCGACCAGCTCTTCCTGGCGGGTTGGAGCCGCCGCAGAGCCACGGCCTGCCACCCTTTGAGCATTTGGCAGCGAGACTGACGTGGCTTCTAGATTCCGGGGCAGCTGGGTGAGGTTGCCAGAACGCGTGATTGTGACATGGCATTCCCTGGAGGCAGACTTCCCTGCTCCGGTGCAGTCCTGAGCACCCCTCGCAGGCTGCTTGTTCAGTGCCACCCACTTTCACCCGCACGCATTCCTGGGCACTGTTGCCCAACGCGTCTGGGATTTGCGCAGGAACTCTGTGAGTAGAAGAAGCCCGGAGGGGACAGAAGTCAGAGTTGGATCCCACACTCGACACATGAGCTCATCTGTTTAGAAGCCTGTGGGACCGTGTGGAGCTCTGCCAGCATTTCACATGGACCAGGCACGCTTGCAACACTGTCTGTTTCCTTTCTCTTCCATGGGTTCAGTGCCTTTAAAACAACCCAGTGAGACCTACAGCGTGGGAAGGACCATCATCCTGCTGAGGTGCACATTTCAGATGTGCAGAATGAAGTAAAATACGAGAGCCAGCGAATATTTTTGAAACGATTTTTTTCCTGTAAAAGTGTTGAGGTTGGGTGGTAACATGATTCTTGGAGCTCAGGGCGGGACTTTCCAGTTGTGGAGCGTGGCATATTTGTGACATATTATGATGCAGTTTTGGAAGGAAGTGAACACAGTTGCTAATTAGCTTGAGTTTATTTAACATCTGAATTAAAAATATCATCTTCGGTGTTTCAATTGCGTGAAACAGAGTCCTGTGTCCGGCAGAAATGAAGTAAATACTAATTGAATTGACAGTTTTCTTCTAATGAATTAAAATCCTGTTAACTTCTCCCCCTCAGATCTGCCATCTTCTGTTTATGTAACTTATGAATCTGTCCTGATTCCATGTTTCTCACATTCATTCAGCTCCTGAAAACAAGTTAAAAATATAGAAGTGGGATTCTTGGGGCTGTTGTGTTCTTCAGCCCAGTCAGCAGCTAATGTCGCTGGAAGCCCCCCTGGCAGTGCCTCTGTCAGCTGGCCGATTCTGTGAGAAGAGCTCAGATCTTTGAAAATCAAGATGAGTTTTTTCCTTTTTCTGTCAGTGATATTTCTATTTTTATGCAACTTGTTTTTTACATGCAGAAAAGCACATACATAGGCATACGCTGAGCGTGTAATCATAAAAAGCTCATAACGTTAGAGACATGGCCAAGGTCCCAAGGCTGAGTTGTGACACACAGTGACTCAGCCAGTTTCTCCACAGCCCCTTTTCCCCACGGCCCTCCCCATCTGTGAGGCTCCGGAACTGGGACCCACTGCCTGCCAGGCAGCTGGTCCTGGGAGAAAGCATGGGTCACCAGGGGGCCTTCGTGGGCTCCTGACAACCTTAGCCTCTCGCTGAGATGGCCGAATCCACAGCCACCCCCACCCCCCCACCCCCCCATCTGATGAAATCCTGTGAGCCTGCATCTTTGTCGCAGTGCTGAGCACGTCCTGCGTGCTGCCAGCTCACTGCCTGGCCAAGTCTCTCGACAGACCAGACCATAGCTGCTTGTGTTCCTGTCCAGCAGGGACTGGGCTCCCTCCCTGCCTCCTTAGAGAGCTCCGGTGGCACCTGTGTCCAGCTCCCACCCATATGTCTGCTTTGGATGCTTGGGACCTCCTACACGCATTTGAAACCGTAATGACGCCTTGCATTGCCCTCCAAGGGGCTGCTTGTCCTGTCTCCTCTGCCAGCTAGTCTCCTGTCACCTTGGGAAAAGGGGCCAAGTCCAAATGCTATCTCTGGGGGCAGATTCTTAGGGTTTTTCTGAGAGCGATTGCCAACATCCCAAAAAGGAACATCTGGGACACGTTGCTGAAGACGCAGGTTTCTAGCGTCCGCCCATCCTGTGACTCTGGTATGGGCTGCAGTGAGAACCAGGAATCTGGATTTAACCACATGATGGTCTTGTCCACCCAACATGGAGAACCACAGCCTGAAAGGCATGGAGCTGATGCCTGATGAGTGGCTTGGCCAGCTCCCACTGAGCCCCCACTTACACTTTCAGATCAGGTCCATGAGGGCCGAGTGGCCTGAGAGTAGAATGCGTGCCTGTGCTGCGTGCAGGTAAGTGTCGGGCGCGAGACGGGAAGGCGCAGTTGCTGCCCCCGGGGCTCCATCGGGTTGTGTAACTTAAGGGAGCAGCATCTTCTCTGTTGCTTTCGAACTCTGCACAAATTTGATGGATGTCTTCTGTTAGCCACACTCTGCTCTGTGATGAACAGGATGGAGGGGAATCCTCTCGGAGGGTCCACACTGCAGTGACCAGAAGGAGAAGATAAGCAAGTGAAGCGGTACAGACAGTGCCCATTGCCAAGAAGTAGATAAACACACGTGGAGGGAGTGAGTTGACACCGTGAGGGCACGGCGGGGCCGCCTGTGATGTGGCATTGAAGCCAAGACGTGAGGGATGGAGCTCTTTGGGTCACACGGTACCAGGCCACGTGTGTGTACTGGATGGCAGATGGCACTGGTGCCTACAGTGTTTCCTGGGTCGCCCACTCCCTTGTATCTGTTCTCGGTGGGCGCTGTCACGGCTGCTGTCAGCTGAGTGGAGAGAGGAAGCTCCAAGAGGGACACACGGTCTCTGAGCTGCAGAGGGGCAGTTAAACGCGGCTCAGGTGAAGGCAGCGCCTACCCTGTTTGGAGTCACGTGTTCCCCTCTGTGGTGGTGGCTGCTGCAGAGGCAGTGTGATGACCAGAGGGCACAGGCCTGTTGTGACAGTGGGGGTGGCTGACATCACAGAGCACGGTGGGAACCAGCCCCTCCTGTGGGCACGCGCCTTATGTTCACCGGTTCACAGGAGCCTCACAATGACCCCGGGGGAATCCACGTGAGGCCGTTGGGGTTGAGAGAGCAAAGCAGTGCCACCGATGGCAGGTGTAGAACCAGCTTCAGGCTGACGAGGTGCGCCTTGTCAACTTCCTGGAGTTGCTGTTACGTTTTTAGCGTTTTTAATGTACAGTTTCTATCCTTCTGTATTTAATTATTTCCTGTTATTTAAGGGTCAGAGTGTGAGTGAGAGAGAAAGAGGGAGGGGAGGGAGCTTTCACATTCTGGTTTATTCTCCAGATGCCTGTGATGGCCAAGGCTGGAGCTGGAAATTCGCTCCAGGTTACCCACAGGAGGCAGGGTCCCAACTGCTTGAACCATCACCTGCTGCCTCCCAGGGTGTGCATTGGCAGGAACCTGGAGCTGGGGCTGGGATCCAGGCAAGGGATGTAAGTGGTATCTTCACCGCTCGGCCCACTGCTGCCCTTCCCTTCTTCCTAAGCCACAGTGGCTGTCTTTACGTGCATTCAGAGTCCAGGGTTCCCCTATAGGCTGTGATCGTCACTGTGGGACGCCTGGGCACAGGGCTTGCCACTGCGTCCCTTCAATTGTAGGCCATTGTCTCCTCCTCAGGTTTTCAGACCGCAACTTTGAACATAATCTTTCCTGATTAGCCGAGGCTTTGTGAAAGCTTTAGGCACCAGGTAGCAGAAATCAGTTGGCCTTCCACACTGCCTTGTTTTCTCTCCAGTCTTTCTGGCAAGGCTCAGTGTGCTCCTGTCATCGCAGCACAGAAAGGGCCTCTTCCCTGTTAAAAGAGGAGCTAAGACCAGGCACAAGCTGGCTGCTGAGCTCTTGTGTGATCAGTTATAGCTGTAATTAACGTGGGTGCTCCCAGCACATGGTGGCTCCCAGGGCACTTGTACCCTTCAGGACATGTGCTCCTCTCAGGGGCGGGCTGATGTCTCCCGTCTTCTGCAAGTATCCCAAGCCACGAGGCTGCAGCCTCATGTGTGTGCATTTGTCCTTGGTGGGGGCACAGTCTGTTCTGGGATGGCATTTGACCCTCACCTCCAGGCTGCATTGTCTCTCAAAATGCACTCAGTGAGCAGACTCGGGTCCCCCTGCAGGTGCCGGGTCCCCAGTAGAGCCAGCTGGCCCCAGACTAGTGTCTCTCATCAGTCCTGGGTTGCCTCTGGCTGTCCACTGACAACCTTCCCAGGATCCTCCGTGTCTCGCAGGCAGTGCTGGGGTGCACAGGGCCTCCACAGCTGTGCCCATTGGATGAGAATGAGCTGGTTGCTGGGCTGCATACTTGCGTTCTTTGGAGCGCTCTTGAAGAGGAGAGTCTTAGCCCTGGTAATCCAGCAGCTGCCTGATCTTCCTCTGCGAGGCTTAGGAGAGCATGTAGGGAGCCTGCCTGCCACTTCCCCAGGGGGCCCAGGCGGGAATCCTGAAGGGAACGGCACAGGCCTGCATGACACGGACAGCAACGTGCATCAAAATAACAGGAGACTTCAGCTACTGTTTCTCTGCCAGGTCTGGGCAGCACAGAACGATTTCAGCAAAAATGAGTCCGACCCAAGAGGAGATGTAAGAGGGGTCTGAAGAGGAAGTAGGAGTGAGGAAGGGGTCGGCAGCACTGCCCAGGCCAAGTTTGGTGGCGGTCACATGTGACTGGACGACTCGTGGCTTCCCAGAACACCGTCTTCTCCAACCCCGAGCGCCAGGGCTGGAGCCGCGTTTGGAAGAGTAGCTGCTGGTTGGTGTAAGTGGCGTTCAGCAGACACACAGCGCCTTTGGCAGAGAAAGTAGTCTATTCTCGGGCTGTTTACAGTAAATACTAAAAAAAATTTCTGAGTAGTGGCTCTCAAGGTTCCTGATGGAAGCTGAAGTTTGGGTTGTTTTCAGGCATCTTTGGAGAAGTCTTAACTTGTTCTTTAGTAAATCTTCCTTAATCTTTGTCGGGGCTCAAGACCTCCCCGCGGATGGATCCTTGTGTGTCACTTGTTGGAGTGGCAGGGGTTGGCAAAGTGCATCAGCTGGTGAGGAAGAGGCGCGGTCACAGTGTGGGCTGAGTGAGGACAGCCGTGTCCATCCTGAGAGTGATGTCCTGGTCATCTGTCACCTTGGCCAAAACCCAGAAGCATGCAACGTTCAAACTGCAACCAAATGTAACTCATGGGGTTTCCTGGGACCTCTGCTGAGTTACAGACCTCTCTCTATGCCTGGAAGGTTCTGGCCACCTCTCTCTAGCAAGCGCATAAAGAGCTCCAGGTAGAGACAGCTGAGAGATTCAAAGAGAGCATTTCTTCCACTATTTAGAAAACAGCGATTGAGAATCAGGACATCTCCTGAGCTAGGTGACCAGCTGGAAGGAATTGTTCAACCAGGTGCGTTAACTCATCCAGTCCATGGCGTTGCTTGGCACTGATCACTGAGAACACAGGTGCTGCCTTCCATCCAGGTGAATCGGAGAGGGCAGGGTGGTTATTGCTGGAGAACGTGCTCCACGAATCTGTCTTTGGGAGTTTGAACGTAGGGAAGTTCACTACTGTTGGTGGCAGCTGAGGCTGGACGGGCAGATCAGCAGGTGGAGATGCCAGGTTCTGCTTGGCATTAACCTCTCCGCCGTGCACCCAGGGGTGCTCCTCAGATCTAGGGTCTGAAAGTCACAGCAACGGGACCTGTGCCAGGGCAACTTTTGGAAAGTGGGATCAAATAAGTTTTTTTTTTTAAAGATTTTATTTATTTTTATTTTTTTATTTAGTAAATATAAATTTCCAAAGTACATTTTATGGATTACAATGGCTCCCCCCCACATAATTTCCCTCCCACTCGCACCCCTCCCAGCTCCTGCTCCCTCTCCCATTCCATTCACATCAAGATTCATTTTCAATTATCTTTATATACAGAAGATCGATTTAGTATATATTAAGTAAAGATTTCATCAGTTTGCACCCACACAGAAACACAAAGTGTAAAATACTGTTTCAGTACCAGTTATAGCATTACTTCACATTGGACAACACATTAAGGACAGATCCCACATGAGAAGGAAGTACACAGTGACTCCTGTTGTTGACTTAACAATTTGACACTCTTGTTTATGGTGTCAGTAATCTCCCTAGGCTCTAGTCATGAGTTGCCAAGGCGATGGAAGCCTTTTGAGTTCACCGACTTCAATCTTATTCCGACAGGGTCATAGTCAACATAGTCAAAGTGGAAGTTCTCTCCTCCCTTCAGAGAAAGGTACCTCCTTCTTTGATGGCCCTGTTCTTTCCGCTGGGATCTCACTCACTTGCAGAGATCTTTCATTTAGGTCGGGTTTTTTTTTTTTTTTTTTTTTTTTTTTTGGCAGGCAGAGTGTCTTGGCTTTCCATGCCTAAAGTACTCTCATGGGCTCTTCAGCCAGATCCGAATGCCTTAAGGGCTGATTCTGAGGCCAGAGTGCTATTTAGGACATCTGCCATTCTATGAGTCTGCTGTGTATCCCGCTTCCCATGATGGATCGTTCTCTCCCTTTTTGATTCTATCAGTTAGTATTAGCAGACTCTAGTCTTGTTTGTGTGATCCCTTTGACTCTTAGACCTATCAGTGTGATCAATTGTGAACTGAAATTGATCACTTGGACTAGTGAGATGGCATTGGTACATGCCACCTTGATGGGATTGTATTGGAATCCCCTGTCACATTTCTAACTCCACCATTTGGGGCAAGTCCAATTGGGCATGTCCCAAATTATACATCTCCCTCTCTTATTCCCACTCTTATATTTAACAGGGATCACTTTTCAGTTAAATTTAAACACCTAAGAGTAATTGTGTGTTAATTATAGAGTTCAACCAATAGTACTAGAACAAAACAAAAAACTAAAAAAAGACCCAAATCAATAAAATCAGAGATGAAAAAGGAAACTAACAACAGACACCACAGAAATAAAAAGAATCATCAGAAATTACTACAAGGACTTGTATGCCAGCAAACAGGGAAATCTATCAGAAATGGACACATGCAACCTACCTAAATTGAACCAGGAAGACATAGAAAACCTAAACAGACCCATAACCCAGACAGAAATTGAAACAGTAACAAAGGCCCTCCCAACAAAGAAAAGCCCAGGACCAGATGGATTCACTGCTGAATTCTACCAGACATTTAAAGAAGAACTAACTCCAATTCTTCTCAAACTATTCAGAACAATTGAAAAAGAGGGAATCCTCCCAAATTCTTTTTATGAAGCCAGCATCACCTTAATTCCTAATCCAGAAAAAGATGCAGCATTGAAAAAGAGTTACAGACCAATATCCTGGATGAACAAAGATGCAAAAATCCTCAATAAAATTCTGGCCAATGGACTGCAACATCACATCAGAAAGATCATCCACCCAGACCAAGTGGGATTTATCCCTGATATGCAAGGATGGTTCAATGTGCGCAAAACAATCAGTGTGCTACACCACATTAACAGACTGCAGAAGAAAAACCATATGATTATCTCAATAGATGCAGAGAAAGCATTTGATAAAATACAACACCCGTTCATGATGAAAACTCTAAGCAAACTGGGTATGGAAGGAACATTCC